CTACATACAATGCTCGAGTGTTCGAAATGGATTTTGTGTTCAAATTGATATAATGTCTTTCCCATTAGGGACGTTAGCTCTATCTCTGTTTATACTTAATGTTCTCATTCACCGTTCCATTTATTGTACGAATCCATGCCTCATATGTCTAAATAAATATAAACGCCAGATTTGTAATCCAATCATTATGTTTGGTTTTAATTTGAACATCGAAAAGAAATGAAGGAATACAAACATATTTCAGAACAACACATCAAAGCGAAATTTAACGAACGTCTTATCTAACAACTCGGTCGTTAATGAGTGTTAAAATACTCGTCATCGATCGTGTATAGATATATCCCTGTATCTGTACCAGCTATTGTTAATTAGATATTTGTAATTCCACTGTTAATGTTTAATACTACTGTAAAGAGGAACGTACATTGTAACACACATGGGATTGCACCTGTTTAATTTCTTAATAGACAGAGTATACCAACAATGAATTACACTGAATCATACAGCTGCTTCGTCTTTATAAGTCTCTTCGGTGATGGTAGGGACGAAATCTGTAAACAGATGGGGAGGGGCACAAAAACCCCTTGAATTCTAAAATGAGTAGAGTGCCTGTCAATTTCAAATTAATAATGAGTAAAGTGTATTTTATTAACCGTTCCATTACTCAAATTAGATAATGTGGCCATCAAAATTAAAGCAAACATTGGGAAAAGAAATCCACCAGCAGGACACATGGGGGTTGCTAGGGGCCAAAAAGTGGAAATCCAAGTTGGTCCAATCAACTGTTGAAACAGAAGGGGAGGTCTGTTAAGACCTTTTATCATAAGAATTCCAGCAATTTTGGGAGTGCTGGTTTATTTGAAAGATAACATTAATATTATCAATGTTTTATTATAATTTATGTATTTTGAACTAAACGACACTGTGAATTAATGTCTTTGCTTCTTGACATGACCTTAAATATCCAACGTTAAGATTATTGGACGAAAATCCAGAAATATGTGAAGATAGTTAATACACTGTGGATTATTCTTCACTTAGTTTAAATATATGTTTATTACATAATGTAAAACACTATTACAAACATATTTTGTCTATTTTCAAATATATAGATGACATTTTATGATTTTCCGTGTAATCAGTGAAGAGAGATAGTTAAAAAGGTTCACAGTTGACAGTGCAAACTCTATGAATTGTTTCAGATACAAACTGCAAAAGTTTGACCACAAGATTAGGGCGCAATGCATTACCATGACTTCCGACAGCGATAACCAATACTTAATGTACCAGACTATACTAATACCCGAGTAAAGAATAAGATGTTGTGGTTTGCCGACATGTTCAATACTTTTGATGAAAAATATTATTTCCGTAAACAAAAACACACCGGACATGTTTATGTATCAGGTGATATATAGGTGCCGACATATGGTGATGACAACGATGGTATTGAGATAATAATTCATTTATATGCTGATTTGAAAGAACGTTTTGCTCGAAAAGCACGCTCTAGTTCTGAAGTGATATTATTATTTACCTGAATC